CTGTCAAGATTTAACGACTTCACAACCTCAAAGGCCACATGGCTCATGCCATACGGGTTAGGTAGCCTCCGCTCCGGAAGTTCTAAAAGCTTAGTTTGCTCCGGAGCTTCATTGCGATTGCCTGAGACGATACATTGGATTTTCTTAGCTTTGAGTAGCGAAACAATTTTGGAAGAAATTTTGCCGATGAAAGCTGAATAGCACAACGAGGAAGAGACGTGCCGAATACTAATGGTTGATCGAACACTATTAGAGACGTGTTTTGTCCAAAGGAAGATGGCGAACATTTTTTTGAGTAAGTTGCCCGAATCATGTGGGCTGCAAAGCGGCTCATCTTTCGTGCACTTTTGGAGTAGGTATCTGTGTTCATTGGTGAATAGGTACAGTGGCAATACGAAGATGTTTTTTAGGCCTCCTAGAATAATCAATACTTTCTTTATTGCTATTACTCTTTTCCCATTCTTGTAATTGTCCTTTTTTCACTTACTTTCCCTAAGGTGGTTATACTTTCAAGCTTGTTGTTTCTATTAATTGCCTTTTTTTCTTACATTAGTCTCCTTGCTTGTGCTTTGATACCTATTGTTAGCGACTTCATCAACTGTTGAGAGTGTGCATTGATTTTATGATGTTGCTTTAGAGGGGGAGGAGGGAGGGGGGGGGGGGGGAAGCAACACTCACTGTATACAATGCACTTTATTCACTTATGCATTGCGAATCGAGGTTGCGTAAATGTTTTATTTGGTTCTTTGCACAGCAGACAAATTAGCAAGTACTTTGGTCGCAAATTTCGCTTCCCTTTATGTTCATGAGCATCCAAAGAATCAAAACTCAAGAAGACGTGCTCGCCTGCTTATCATTAAAGTTTTCCATGCTCGCATTGACTACTTCATATTAATGCACAGCATTGCTTATGCTTAGTCCCATACTGTTTGGATCGCCGTGCTTCATTCTTATACGGGTAGTTCTATCGATTATACTGGTGTTCTCAGTTTCAAGGCTCGTATGTACTCTGTCGCTGGTAACTATTTGATGAGTTTGTGACTCGGTAAGAACATTTGTTTCCTCTGCCAATCTTTCGCATATGGTTTTTCCATTGAGACGGCTTGCAGATTCAAAGGAAATTAATTGTTTCGCCTGTTGTCTTGAAGATAAAAAATTTCTTGTTTTCGATTTGTTCGCTTTCTATTCCATGCTGCAATGACGATATTGATATCCTTAACCGTGTAGCCGCCGTAATCCCCAGAAAATGGCGCTACCGTACGAAATAAATGAGAAAAAATAATCCCCTTGGGCCAAGTCTTAAGGAAATTCGTGATTTTATCTCCTTATCGCATACCCAACTCAACGCCCACAAAATGGCGTCACCTTACAAGCACGATATTCGCTATCAGCGGATCAAGCACAGCTCCTTCCCCTCCCTCTTGCTTCGGGCCAAGTTTAAGGCAATTCTGAGGAACTGGCGCTTTTCTGGCGGGACTGATAGATATCGCGCTTCATTCGAAACTCGGTCGTTGCGTCGTTGTAGTGCCATCCAGTTTCCAGTTACTGGACCCCTCATTAGGGCTACATATACGATGAGTACGCGCATAAATATTTCAGAATATAGTAAGCCGCTCATTATGTCGCTTTGTCGACCTTGTCCGTTACGAAAATATAATGAGGAATGATTTACAACACTTCAAAGCATGGGAGAGTCGCCTAACAAGGGAAGTTCATTTTTGTTCAGCATTACTAAGTGACACATATCGTTTCCTGGCGGTTTCATATCGACCAATGCGACCTCTGCGAAGCGAAGGTGCGCTGTTTCCAATAATGATGTTTGTAAAAGAGTAACCAATTAAGACATATTTTAATAAGTAAATTCTGTTCTTCCAAAGTTTAGAGAAACTTCGATCTGGGAGTTAGTCACCCAGCTCATCAAATGTTAAATATGCATAAAAAATTCTTGAAACTTTTCTGAGATCTGAAAAAATTCCTTTCTGAAAAAATCTATGAAGCTCCTGTACGAGTGATGATGTTGCCGCCCTCTCTAGATTTCAAACAAGTTCTACTTTATCATCGAAAAAGGACAGACGATTCAAAAGTATGTCGCAGAAAATCATGTCCGAATAAAATTGCTGCGTTGCTTAATGATACCCGACGTCTCGACTATTGATTTAAGTGTGAAGGAGTGTAATGTTGCTATGCTACAGACTTTTTAGGGTGAGTTTGCCCTATCAAAAAGTGGTTTAGCCAGGCCGATACAAAAGAACGTCGCCGAAAACCGTGCGCAAAAGCACTTGAGAAAACGTTTCAAGTACAACTCAATACCTAAGCTTTTTATGTCGGACGCGACGTCTAGATTGAAATCTTCTATCCAAGAGCGTTCAGATAATACAGGGAGTCCCAAAAAGACGTGCCTACTATTTGATTGTTAATAACTTTCTTGTAATGAAGTCTTTCGAGAAACTTTAGGCAACGTTTTCTAGAGCTGTCTACAACTTAGAATAGCAGTATAGAGCCAATCAAGAATCTATTTTCACAACTGTAGGAGCACTGTAGGAACTTGCGGCATACACCACTGCAAAAAAGGAAATGGAAAAAATTTCCAAAAAATTCTGAAGGATTATGTAACAGGGTTTTCATGCACGCTAATTTCAATACGCACCTTTTTGCGCTATCGTAGAGTTTTCTGAATACCCCAATCAGATTTTTACGCAGAAATTGGTTACTGTTGTATACCCGGCATAACTTACGAAAAATGCGTTACGGTGAAGTGCGAGTTCAAGTTTGAAATCAAAGACTTTGATAAACCTAGTGTCAGAGCTTTCGGCTTCTTTGGTTCTATTCTAGGGTGAAATGTGGCCCCTTTTTACTGAAGACCTTCCTCAAAGTTCCTAGCGTAATCCTACAGTAATGAAGAGGAATTTTTTGATTTGCACCGTACCGTAAATCTAACTTGAAGCCAGCTCTACAGAGTGGTACCTAAAATTCCTCGAAAAAATTTAAAGAGCTATTAAAATCAAACCGTAGGCACATCTTTTTACGACACCTTGGATAAGATATGTGGGGGATAGAGTGCCTCCCATAGCTGAGAGTGCGCGAGTGGTTCCAAACCATCTGGCAAAGAGTCCAGCCAAGCTTGTTGTTGGACAGGAGACTTTGTGATAGAAAAATTTTCCTTTGCATGTAATACTTGATATGAGAATACTGTTTTTGAAGGCAGCGTCCAGGCAAATCTGGACATATGGGGATTTCAGGTGGGCAGTAATTTTGGGACTCTAACTAACAAGGGAACGACACTTAGTGTCCGTGGCCTTTTGAGATAATATGTATACCATTAGATAATATGTATACCATTATACTCGCCTCGGAACGCTGATTTCGAATCCGACTTCCTTTTTTGCTGATCGTTTCTCTGAAAGGAGTCATGGAGGATTTTCGAGTCAACTTTAGCCGCCCGAGGGAAATACGATCGGAGTGCCATATACCTCCTGTAGGCTGTGGCGTAGGGTTATAGCGATAGCCTCATAAGTTGATGTAGGTGCAGGTTTTTTTGTGTTCTTTGGTTTTGCATTGCCTCAATAAATTCTTTTTGAAAGTTAGGCATCCTTGAGGTAAATGCATGCCCTTACTAAAAAAAACCAGTGAAGAGTCGTTTTGTTTTTATAGGAGTGTTGCCTACATTTACTCTAAAAGGTGCTTACAAAAATGAAAATGAAAGGAAAATCATGTTAAACACAGTGACGGAAATCTATGACAAAATGATTTGAACATAGGAGATGGTCGCAGTGAGCGCATTGGATAAAGAATAGGTCATCAATCATAATTCGAATAAATTTACTTTTGCAGCTGGCTTTCTCGCACTTACCCAGCAATTCATGCCAAAAGTATCGTACTGAGGTTTGGATTGACCAAGATGCTCGTCAAGGTAGCCTGCGACATACCACGGGTTTTGTTCGAGTAAATTTATTCGAATTATGATTGATGGATACATTTTAGGCAAACAGTAATTATTTCTCCGAATTTTCCATATTTTTGGAGAGGAAGTGCATGCATTTACCGTGAGGATGCCTAACTTTCAAAAAGAAGATTGAGGCAATGCGGAACTAAAAATCCCAAAAGGCCCCGAACCACCTTTAACCACTACGCCACAGTCCATCAGAAGTATATGGCACTCGATCGCATTTCCCTCGGGCGGCCAAACTTGGCTCGAAAATCCTCCATAGCTCCTTTCAGAAAAAGTAAAAAAGAAACCAAATTTGGAATCAGTGTTTCGAGACGAGTATAATGGTATACATCTCATCGCAAAAGGCTACGGACACTAAGTATCGTTCCCTTGTAAGACACTGCTCAACGGGCAGCTCAGATGATGTTCTAACGGCAGAGTATTCGCCTCCAAACTGGACCCCAAGATCGCATTCCGCATGGTTTCATGAAGCAATCCATCAGTTTTGTGTGGGTCCTCACGCGAAAGCGTGCAAACACGATGCAAATCGTGCGATAATACTGCCATGTTTTCCAGTTTAGAGGCGTATATCTCAGCCGTTGTGAGTCAATTGCGCTGCCACTTGGGCCGTGCCTTAGTTGGGTCCCCAAAATTACTTTCCACGTAAAATTCCCATGGGGGCAGATTTGCCTGGACCTGCCTTCAGGCAAATTTCTGCCTGTGCTCATAAAAACTCAACAGAATCTTTTGTCTTTGAAAGAAACGAGAAGCAAATTTGTTAGCATTCGGATGGTGATGCCTTGATGCTTATAAGTCAATAAGGGCGCAAATTTTGCACGTTCTTTCCTTTGTCAGAGTATTATTGATTCTCAGATCAAGATAGAAGGGTATCTTGAAGCATAAAAGGTTGTTTCAAGAGCAGCATGAAAACCAAAAACATCGCATTTCCAGACTCAAAACCACATAAGTTGAAGTTGCAAATCAAAGATGTGCTTACACTGATTCAGCAATTTACGTCAAAAACACGACCAAGTGCGACATTTGAAGCACTAATTGAGCTTTTCTGACCCACCTTCATCGGAACGGGGTAGAGTTTCTTCGACATGTGTGAGTGGGCACTCCCTGCCGATCAGAAGACAGCTTGCAAGTAAATGGATTAACTCCCGCTCAATTTGGCCTATTATTACGAAGAGAATTGGTTTTGGTATGGGGTTGGATCATCCATTTCAATCTGCCACCATCAACGGCGGTGTAGTGTTGTTCATTTGCTGCTGCCTATGTCATGTTGCCCTCTTGCCAAGACATCAGTTTGTAAGCAGAGGAATATTGTATTACTATGGAGCAAAGTACTTAATGAGAAAATAATGGAAAATGGATGGGTGGCTAGATACGATATAAAAAGTACTCTTTGCCTGGTGCTGTAACAGGAATTACTCACAAGACATTTCTTTCAAGTTGATTATGGTACTTGTTTGAAAAACAAGTAATCGCCATATCGTGCACATAACTGAGATAAAGTTTGTGAAATCCTCGACATTGGGGATGTCGACTGCGCCCCTTCGGAGGTGTACTGGATGCGTAAGCCGAACAATTGTCCACCCTTGGTTAAAGTTGTCGTCCTCCCCTTTTATCGGTGGAGGTCTTTGACAAACGCCCACATCCTCCATCAGACAAGTCACTCCAACATATGTATACGTACAAAGGAGTATGACTGAGGAGGAGCAAGCGCGAATTTGACTCAAGGCAAGCACGCAAGAGAAATAGCGGCTTGGGGAGATTTCTTGAGTGTAGCGCGTTTCGCACGACCGTAATGCTTTCTGCACAGGACCACTACCGCGCGCGAAACACTCTGCGGCGGCTTTTGCCTAAGCAAAGCAGGGAGAGGAGAGATTCCGGCGTGCTCAGACACTCGCGGTTGACGACCGCTGGAGATCCGCCCACCATCGGTTTGTTTCGGGACAAAGTTGTCTCCTGCCGTTAACCCGACTACACCAGCAATTACGTCGGGATTGTTCCGACGCGTATCAATACGATCGATCGGCCTTGTGAGTCGTTCGGGTTCAACCGGACGTGCTTGACAAGTGCCGACAGGTATCGGAGAGAAGCCATCATTCGCGTTCACACTCATTTTCATTCCTGCATCCACGATTTTACGAGAATGAGTAAGGCACATAGATAGTAGAGCCAGTGCGAGCCTCTGCGAAGCAGAGGTGACGCACTGGTGTATAAAAACCGATATCTACAACTTCAGTGTTACTAGATACCCAAATTGGACGTCCAATATACCAAGATCTATCATATTCAATACACTTGCATCCGAAGTAGTTAAAATCTATAGAATGTGCTCGGATTTTCTGGATTTCAAAACGAGAATCTTGGAATTATAAATGACTTCGGCAAGAAACGGCTGGGAAAGAAATAATTTCATCTGAGCGTTATATCTTATCCTTCAAAATAGACTTTCACGTAAATATGGATTCAGTACTAGTGTGTATTTGCCTCTTGTGCATGAGATGCGGAATGCGTGGCCCATTACCAACTAAGATTATATTGGCAGGAAATAATTCATTCTAATAGGATTCTACTTTAAACGCACATCTGATAACAGTAGGACACGTTCGCTTCAGTATCTCTTTACTGACTTCAATGAACTTCATTGAATGTCTCAAGCGTTTCATCATATCTCCCATGTCTTCACATAGTCTATGCTTTGGACACCTCCTTGGAAACTAGTGATGAAAGTGTTTCGACACGGGGGCACCAAGGAATGTCGCATATCTGGTCTAGTTCTTAGCCCCGAAACCAGTATGCGCAAAAACATATATAGGATTTGTTTTTCTTTGTATATTCTCTTTTCTCTCTCTTTCTCTTCCTTTCAAGCCTATATTGACACTTCGTTTTCCTCTATATGATGTTAGATTCTATGTATAGATGAGCTGTTGATGCGCAATCCCGCAGTTTACAGGGACGATGGGGCGCCCATCTCTTATGCAAAATGTGCACAAGATGTAAGTACTCAGACAATAACTCGGGCGAGCGGCGGACCTTAATGGCTTTCCGAGCGAGCGGCGGGCTTTGATTTGTGGGCGTGGCTTTCTTGCGGACGAACGGCGTGCCCTCGCTACCGAGCGAGCGAGCGGCGGACCTTGATTTGACCAGCGGCGCCCCATCCCCTCAAGCGGATGGGCGGCGTACCACTAACACATTAGACTAACTTGCCATCATTTCTATGTGCGAGTCATTCTCATTCAGTTTATTGCGGCGTGAGGGCGGTCAATAGCAGTGGTCAGCAACAATAAGCAGGTAAGTGCGCTCAGACAGTCATGGCGAGCATCTGCCGGCCAGCCACATGCCCATCCCGAGGGCGCGCCTATAAGGCTTGATACATACCTGGCTGTCTAGGTATGGACAAAATCAACGAGCAGCGAAGGCAGAGCTGCTTCGCTGATCAGCGCTGCAGTCGGCTGCTTCTTAGGTACTCGAGTGCAAAAACCATACAAAATATCTGCCTATCATCAGGTCTTATAATGTCGAAAACGAGTGAATTAGCATGTTTTGAGTTGGATCTGGAGTTATATTCTACTTTTATGAGGAAAGGTCTTTCATGAGGTCATCTTCCAATTTTCGTTGTTAAATCTATAATGTAAAGGTAGCCTCATACGAGCAAACTTAAGAGGAGCATAAGTGTACTGATTGCATTTGACCCTTGTCAGTGGCTGTCCTAGTAGTATGAGAGTGTCCCTCAGGCAATGACATGATCGGATCCCCTGGAAACGAAGTTTTATCTGACCACACCGCCAACAAATATTGCCAATCTGTAGTTCATTTGATTTTCATATCTCTTCAACTTCATGGAGTATGTTCCTCCAGTTCATCCCAATATTTTCCCATATCCGCCTCTAAAATCCTGATTTGACGGTCTTAGGTTGCATTCATGACTTGCTCTGCAAGAAAGACGGAATTTGCTCTTAAAGTCTAAATGTAGCTTGAAAACCGCCAAAAATAGGTAGATTCAAACAAAAGCAGCTGTTTGCAGCTCAGAGCAGCTGAGATGCGCTCAGAAAAAGTGAGCTTAACTCAGCTGCAAAATCTAGTTGCAGCGTTGATCAGCACGAGCGCTGCTCAAAAATGAGTCGCTAGGTATGGACATGACCTTTTGCGTTAGCTGCTGCAGCGTGAGGCAGCAGCGTCACTCCGCTGCAATCGATACGCATCGAATGCGTTGCTGCCACCGCTACTTATAGGCACCCAACGCCGGGTATGTATCAAGCCTTAGAGATGAAAAGGTGTTGAGAGCGCGCGATTCAAAACAATTTCTGAAGATTCTAATCGTAAGCTCTAAGTTCAAATTCTAAGTGCCTGGTAACCACCCGACAATGTAACAATGTAACAATGTAACCATCCCACCCCACGACCAAGTCTAACGCAACCAGCTAGGGATTGGGAGAGAAAAAAAAAGAAATGCGTATCAACTACTTTGTTCTTTGTATCGATTTGTGCTGAAGAGAGTAAGTTTCAGGAAGGTTTGCAAGGAAGGGATCTAAATGCACTTTCTACAAAGTGCATTTAGATCACGGACCCCCCAGAAAGAATCCAGGAATTTTCCGTGAAGTTGAACTAAAACGGAGGAAGGAATGAGGCTTTAAAAAAATCTCCCCGAAGAAATTGAGGACGTGTTGAAAGGTAAAGGACAAGTTTATAGGGGCGCGGTTTGACAATATTACCAATTTAGATTTTGGAGAAGATATGCTAGGCCTAGGGCACGACGAATTAAAACCCTGGATGGAAGTCAATCATGAGGATTCTATGTGGGCTCTTAAAGATCGAGACTTGTTGTGAACTACGAAATAATTCGTTAAAGGTTTTACAAGAATCTAGCAAAAACGGATGAAGAAAGAGAGAATTTTGGATGAATTAATGGAGCAGCAAAAGGACTGGCGGCCACACCTCTTCAGATGCCTGCAAATGGCGCTGTAAGTTTAAGAAAATCGGTTTCACCATTCTACATCTATATATATATAAAACTCAAAAATTGTCAGTTTGGAGGGTATGTGCGTTATAGAAACGCGCGACGCTCAACCGATTAAGCTGAAACTTTACACACATATGTTTTCGAGCCTTGCGCAGATGATAGGCTACTTTTTGCAGCGATTCGTTGGGTCCTTCTATCGATTTATTGATTTGCAGCACTTTGCAATAAAAATGATTCTTATCATTTGCTATCAAAACAGGGGTATGTAAACAAGGCTGGCATGTCTCATTGTGAACTTCTGTTGACGAAGTGCAGTGAAAAGTGTTCTTGATGTGAGTCACAATTGCTCATTTAAATGAATGCACTAAATGTATCTTATGCGGAAACCTTAGCGTGCAAGAGACCATGAGTGCTTTGTAGCGAGTGTTTTGTACGGAAGCGTGCTCAATTTACGCTTATAATCAATCTTTCTTCGTTACATGCTCAATTTAAACAATGAGGGGTCAAAATTTTTCATGAGATTGCGCACAAATCATTTGTCAATACCAGAAATAATGTCAAGACAAGCGACAACTCACATTCGCTATAGTTGATCCCTGGGACCAGGAAAGTGCGCGAGTGCAAAGTACTGCCGACTCCACAAAAATTGACGGCAAGCGTGAATGAAGATGAAGTAGCCGGTTAACGACAAAGTGTCACAAAAAATGATACTCATAATAACAATGAGCGCTGCTATCAATTAACTGGCGCTGCTTGCTTAGGTTTTGCGTGTTGAACTTGATTTGGAGAAAGAGAGATATGCTACCGACTAATAAGTGTTCACATTTTGTTTTTGTTCTTTACACAGTTTCTACAATGCCAATATCTTCATTCCCGATCAGTGATCATTCCCGGGCTGGACCGGGCAGATCAGCTAGTATCTTATATATAAAGCTGAATGTCTGTTTGTCTGTCTGTATGTCTGTCTGTCTGTCTGTACGTATGTTCCGAATAGAAAATTCCATTTCTGAACCGATCCGGACCAAACTTGGCACACATACACTACGGGCCCCGGCGGGTGTCATAGGCTACTTTTCGTATCGATCGATATCGATTTTATCGATTTTTTGCAAAATTTGAGCTACGGGGCTGGGATTTGGCACAGGGGGTAATCGAGCATGCTGATCACCCCCGTGGGGGGGATCAGCATGCTAGATTACACCCCCTGCCAAATTCCAGCCCCCTAGCTCAAATTTTGCAAAAAAACGATAAAATCGACATCAATCGATAACGAAAAGTGGACTGTGACACCCGCCGGGGCCCGAAATGTATGTGTGCCAAGTTTGGTTCGGATCGGTTAAGAAATGGAATTTTCTATTCGGAACATACGGCGGAGCCGGGTAAGCCAGCTAGTTGTTTATAAAATTTAGGCGAGATGTGCGGTCTTACAGTTACCACTCGGGGAAATGGATACCTAGCGACGTGAGAACATTACAGCAAATAGACAATTTAGTGATTATTTTATGTGCTTCAGCGACAGAAGCGTGCGGCACCAGGAGATGAAGATGCCTCGGAAGGTGGAAGAAAAAGATTGAGAAGATTCTAGAAGAAAACTTTTTGGACAGCGAGTTTTTGGCGTATGTGTATATGAGTGCTTGCACCTTTGTACCCTTTCTGCGCTCATGAGAATGTGATATTGTTGTTTATTTCGTTGATACTTATTTTGTTCCGGTTTATCATCTCGTGCTGTTTCAATTCATGACGCTGAGCATGCTATTGCATCTGCTTTTGCATGTGGTCAGCTTTTCTAATAAACTATAAAACGTTACAATAACTGTTTGTACATATCTATCTCAAGAATTTAGGCGTTAGCACATCTGCCCATTGGAAAAGAAAGGAGAGATTATTAACGCAATTACAGTAAGCTGTCAAATCCATGCAGTCTTCAAAAGAGGCATATCTCTAGAGGGAGAGCGAGACAACATATAGATATTAGCCCGGGAAAGGCACTCCGCTCGTCCGCTTTGATGCGAGCGGACGAGCGGAGTACTTTTAGCGGAAGAGTGGAGGGACGTACTCCGCGCGCCCGCTAAGGGTACTCCGCTCGCCCACTAAAGGTACTCCGCTCGCCCGCTTTATATCTCTAGCGGGCGGCCCGCGTGCCTCTAGAGGACGAGCGGCGGGAGGCATGATCGCCCATCCGGTAGAGGCCCGCCGCTCGTCCGAGTTATTGTTTGAGTAATCAGATTTCTCACAAATGTTCTTAGTAAACGATGAGAATTAGGAAGGGCGAAAACCCGCACTTTAGTCTCATTACTTTCTTATCCTACAAAATATGTGTAAGCCATCTCATAGGCTAGTGATGCTCAGTCATTTCATCCAGTAACAAAATCTGCAGCGGTCTCGCCGGATTTTGTTTACTATTACGAAAGTGGAAACGTTAAAAGAAGGAGCTTCCGCGGAGTCTTTATCCACGTTGATGGAACGGAAACTTTCTCAAGGTAACGCTGCGAAAATTCCGAAAAATGCCAGCTGTTCCGCATCGCTCTTTGACCTGCCAGTACTTCCGCAGGTTTTTGGGTGTGTTGTTTCTTACGATGTTCTCTCCCCAACAACTAGAGCGCATTGTTAAACATGCCATCCGTAGTGCAGAGGATAGTGAGCTAGAGCAAGCTCTCGATTGTGTTCTCTTTTGTCGTTGTTGTTCGCATTCCTCGAAACTTCCGCAGCACGCTTAAATACTTCCGCGAGTGATTTGGCGGAACTTTTCCAAACGTAATGCGGAATTTCCGGCCAAATGCCTGAGTGGGTAATTTGGACTGCTCCTACATTGTTTGCGAAAATCGCTATTGGAAAGTGTGTTTTTAAGTCAATTACTATGTATGAGTTTTGCAAAACTTTGATTGAATTTTACCGATTGTGTAATAATAGCCTGTAAATATTTGCACAATTTCTTTTTGGCGAGATCTTTATAGCACAAGATAAACGAGTTCATGTAAGTGATATACAGTTTGACCTAATAAGCTTCTTCCATCACTGCAGTGCATCGATGTCTTGATCGACACTTCTGTTGGAAGCCGTAGGGGTAGACTCTGAATACATTGCTTTTTATTCGCTGCAATACAGATGAAGATTTCCAATTTCAGCTTGGCTTCATTATTACCGTATCATAGGCTGCCTCTGCGATTTGAAATCCTCAAAAATACAACAAATGAACTATAAATGTATGCAGGGAAAGGTTATTGTGGATAGACACGAAGTAAATAAATCGTCATTAGTGTTCCCTTGTAGATTTTGTCATCATGGGTTTCGTGATGCTCTAATAATCTAGTTGAATTCGTACCCAGTATCGCCCATGGGCATCACCAACTTTCAGCAGCTGTCTTTTCCGTGATCCTTGCATTGTATGAATAGTCAGGTTCATGACGTTTCTGTTTTTAGATTTTTAATGACCTCTCAATCTTTTCAAACACAACAGATATACGATTCGGTAGGGGAAAAGAATTTGAGTATCATGACTTCTTCCAGATACTATAGTTATATCCGAATGCAGATGGAAATCATTGTTTAAAATGTTTCAAAAGTTATTTCGTGTGATCAGGCAACGACTATTATGCGAAACATGGAGATGCCTAGAACAGCGCTGTAATGCGCGAAAGGAGAAGGAGAAACGCAGAAATGGGCTTTGACTTCTTTGTGACGACTTTCACTCGCGCTTGCTTTTCGTTCTAAAAAGTATTGAAGCAAGTTTGGGACTTACACTTAACTTAAGTGTGAGGGCAAATGATTTGATTTTTTGAAATCTTGACCTTGAATTATTCTAATGAAGAGAATGAATTATCTTACCGCACACCTTCGATGGCCTCGCGATAGTTGATTTCCCAGTCATAAGGATCACTCATTCGTCTGTCACCCACGAGCTCCTACAAACAATTTTTTTCATTTCCCACTAACGAAAGGATGAAGTATCAATCGATATAGTGAGAAAGAGATTATGAAAAGCTGTACAATCACCGTCAAGAGAGCTTGCAATGCAGCATAATTCGGTTCTTCGTCAGTATTTAAGCTAAAAACTGCTCGTGCGAATTCTTGAAAAGAGTCACTCGTCAATGCCAAAAATGATGTCTGAGGATCGCCGTGCTGCTAAAACAAAAAAAAATGCAAATTTTAAGCTATTAAAGAAGCAAAAATCTCACCAATTCAATTTTCGCTCTCTTCACTTCGTCGCCTTTCACAATGTATTTCCAAGGAAGCTCGCCAACCAGTAATTCGAGGCCTCAAAATAGAGTGGATTAAAGCTATAATGCACAAATTTTTCCTACAAAATAATGTTTTAGGAAAGTGCTAAAAGCTGGAAGAATTATGGAAACTAGTACAGCAACCTAGATCCACCACCTGTTCGGTCTATCTCATAAAACATGTTCGACAGTTACAGAAACAATGTCCGGTTAATTGTCTGACTACCACCTTACCGTCTTGATAATTAGCTTTTCAGATCAATAGTAGTTAAGGACTGTTTGGTCAGTATCAATGTGAGACCGAACAAATGTCACTAAGCTCAGCTTAAAATGGTAATTGTCGCGCTTACCAGAATAAATCAAAGAGACAAGATCGTCCGCTGGTCCTTGCTCAATTCGATCATGTACCCTGATCGACACGTATCGCACGGTTCCTCTCAAAACTATGCAATGGTGAAAGGATTGCAGAAGAAAACACAGTACCTGAAACCGGCCCTTGGCCGAAAAGGACGTAAAGTTCCATCCAAGTTTTTGTATCTGCGCGTGAGACCGAAGTCGACTATCATAAGCACATGGCGTGTCTAGAAAAGATTTTCTGGTGAAAAGAATAAAATTAGGAATCGTTGCAGACCTGAGCTGTCAATCCAAAACACATATTGGCAGGTTTCACATCTCTGTGGATGTAACCACCAAGGTGAATGTCTCGAAGACCAGCTATAGCCTTGAAAGAGGAGTTCTTAATTGTTCGGTTGGTGCAAAAATAATATGCGTTTTTCTAGCCCTTGTCTCAAGATGTTTTTTCATCAAAAGATGTTTTTTCATCAAACTTTCCTTTCAAGTTTTCCTTTATAAAGACTTAGCCAGCTATCGAAAAGCTCTCTTCAACGTTTTCCTTTGTAAAAAGCTATCAAGCTATCGCAAAGCTCCTTTCATGCTCTTCAATAATATTCGAAACGAGCTTCTAGTCTCATTTGTTGGAAAATCGCAGAGATTCAAACAACCGCAGTCAAAATCAAAGGGATTGCGGCTATTGGGTGGAGCTCACGTTGTAACCGGATTGTCGCCTGGCTCAGCAGCTCTGCGATCCTGCTTCTCTAGTGATTGAGGCTCCTCCTTTCCCACGCTCGCGGTGAGAAATTGACCAGAGAGGACGCTCACGAAAGAGGTGCAGAGCCCAAGCAGCTCAGCTCTACACCGCCAATCTTGTTGAATCAAAGGGGATGATCACTCTAGGTTGAGAAGCAGCGAGGGGCATACCCAGACTCAAAGTACGTTTTGATTCAACGGTTATCGACCGTAAGGCGACCGCTCGCGCCCGCGGCGCGCCTGCGTCTCCCTTGGACGTGCTCTCTGATCACACCCTAGCCTTGATAGGTCACAGAAGCCCCGCCTTCCAGCCGTCAATCCAGCTGAATTAAAGGGTAAAAACTAAAGATGGAAGTGTTGGACAAACTTGTTGGAGAATTCTTCCCACACTACTCTTTCCTAGGCGACGTACAGGGCTGGCCTTTTTGAGATCTCCCACGTTCACGCTCAGCAGTTGCATCACTGCAAATGTCTTTTCAACCTAGTCCTCTGCATCAAATAAAGTAGGTGCTGACCAATGAAGTTGATTTTGTTATCGTGACCGGATGCTATCATCTTTGGTATATGAGGCCTTCCTTGCAGCCGCAGCAGAACCTAAAAATTCGCTGATTGTTCAATATCAAGAAGTTAGCACAGGCAGTACTTTTTGTTCTAGAATCATTCTTTTGACGGTTCGCCCTTTCCTCTTCCTTGGCTCAACCTTAACTGCTACTTCCTCTTGATTGCGAACATCGATGGCATAGTAAATTTCGCCGTAACCTCCGTGACCAATCATCCCCTTAAATTTTCGTGAAGTATAGTCAATCAATTCATTTCCTATGTACAGATACTGTATCTTCAAATGTACAAGCTGCACTCTGTTCTTTTCTCTATTTTCTTTTTTCTCTCTTTTCTTGTTTTTTTCTCTTTCTTAGGCAAACGCGCCAAGAGAGTTGGCGTGGGACACGTTGGCGGTATCAAAAAACCTTCTTTACGAGTCATACGCGCAGGTATGCGTCCTAGTCTGCTTGCTTTTGGGGCAACAGATCGCGGCTTGTCCACATGAAGACGGGTAAACGCAAGCAAAAAATAAAGAGAAGATGTTGTAAATCAGTCTATTCGCATCTACAGATAGAAGCATTCCTGTTAACGACAAGCAAAAGGCTTGTAATTTAAGAAAGTTACACAGAATGCTATCTTTTCCAGAGAATTCCAATCTCAGTGTCACGGTCGTGCGCCTTTGGTCCTCGCGAGCCGCCTCGCTCGGGTCTCCCGACGCTTTAAGGTTTTTCCACGCTGGAGGTGCGAGAAAAACCTGATTTTTCAGACATCAACGGCCGAGAGTTGAGAAAAGCACCGGGACACATTCGCGAACGCGTCAAGTGGCCCAAACGAGGCTCCTCGCGAGGGCCCGAACCGCACCGATGACGCTTACAAGGGAAGGAAGGTTGGTCAAAGTGGCTTTTAAGATGAAATGGGCACTGTCTCGTAGAGCTTGGAACTCTGATTCTTTATCTTTATCTTTATCTTTACATTTGAGGTGTACCGTTTGAATTATGAGAAACTGTTAGCGTGGGGCCAGTCGTCCTAGACATTCAAAGAACAACAAAGAAAGCTCGTAATACGTGAGTTAAGCAAAAGAAAGTACGGGATAGTGTACCCACAACAACGAAAAAAAGATGCATGCGAGTAAAGTTATACGGTTATATATATAGAGTTGGAATGCCAGGTGAACAGCAGTGGGAACTGCTATCGCTCAAGGACAATCAGAGCGGTTCAAGCCAGGGTATTGGTTTAGCTAGGTATCCACCAACCTAACTCCCCAAGCCTTGAACAGACCTGACAAATTTCAAGTAGAAATGTCCTCGATGAAAAAGGTTCTCAATCCAAAAAAAATCATATAGAGTAGGACGAAGTGACCCTCCATAAATAAGCGATTAGTAACAAAAGAAGTAACAAAAGAAGATTCCATATTTGCCTTTGCAATCTACTGTGAGCTTCTGAGCGAGGAGTTATGAAGGTTTTGTAGGTTAAAATTTGATTGCAGGATTAGTGTAAAATTAGTCGTAACCATGTCAGTATAATGTAGCCAGCACGAGGTTTGGGCGAAGCAATTTGTTACATCAGTGGCCTAATGCGTTTCGACTACTCGTCGTCTTCGGAGGCTTAAGCGGTCGGGATTAGTGATCTTATGTCTGCCCCACATTATATTGACACAGTTTAAATTATGCCGAGGTTTCAACAATGGACGAAAAACTTAGTGGTCAGCTTTCTTCAACATTCAAATGAGGCAGCAGTGAGTTGGTATTTTTGAATCAAGAATATTCATTGCACCGAGTGATGCGACCATCAGTTAAAGGCAGTACATCGGCAGAATGAGACCCATGACAAAACAAGGTCACAGGGTAGGAGCCCCCATAATGGAACCTATGGGCCAAAGTTCGAGCTTTCTCTGCCACTTTTAACCCCCGAAATTTCAAAGCGAAAACAGCGCTCATCTCCTGCCCTCTCCGAACCCGCCCACCCCATGGACGAGCGAACGCAAAGCCCGTCATGGCGAAGACGCAGAGTCGTTGCGGCCTCATGCTTATAGCATTGCGGCTGACGCTCTGACCGCGGAAGTCACTCGTCCATGGGGTGGGCGGGTTCGGAGAGGATAGGAGATGAGCGCTGCTTTCGCTTTGAAATTTCGGGGGTTAGAAGTGGCAGAGAAAGATCGAACTTTGGCCCATAGGTTCCATTATGGGGCTCCTACCCTGTGACCTTGTTTTGCCACGGGTCTCATTCTGCCGACCCACTGCCTTTAAGCCCTAGAAAAATGTTACGGTAATGTAGTTTTACACTAATCTTGAATTTGACTTTTCACTCACAAAAACCTTCATGACTCCTCTCCCAGAGCCCGCAGCAGAAAACAGATTTGGGATCAGCGTTCCAAGCCCTGAGACAGTTGACATCTCATGCTGAAAGGCCACTTCGACCAACATTCCTTCCCTTGTTAGATTGGAGTCCCCTGTACAATGATCTTCATTACAAAATTTTTACCACATTTTCACCACAATTCAAAGGAGCAATGACGTTAGACTGCGCAGTAATTTTGATATATCTGACTGTTCCCAATACACCAGCACATGTGTTTCTGCAGGGGTTGATAACGGCTTGAAAATGGCAAATGATATCTTATCAGTATCATTCATTCTTAGTGCAGTGCGGTACATCTCAGCCTCTTTGGAGGGTGTGGTGATGGGTATCGGTGGAGGTGGTTTTACGACATTTCTCTGTCTCCCCCCATTCTCAGCCGTTTCGTTCTCGCTATCAGAACCTGCCACACGCGAAAGCTCCGATGTCCTCATTTGATTCGAAGTCTGGTGGGAAGAAAACTGAAGCTATTTTAGGCTTTGAGCAAAGGACATTGCGCGTTAGCCGCAGTTTTGCTCTTATTTCTTGTTCTGTTTTGATCCTAAAACGGAGGTGGTTTCATTTTTTGGGCAGTGCCATCGTAGACTTGAACAAACTTATTGGCTGATTACACATTCAAGGTGGAAACTCCTTAATTGCCTATCAAAGCTTTTACCAAGATTTTCTTACTCTACGTGTTGACATACCTTAATGTACCAACGTTCTCTTAACGTATCTCCTAATGGAATCAACGTCTGTCCAGTTATAGTCTTTTTAACCTTCGGAATAAGCCTGTGACAAACAGAAGCTCTTTGAGTCCTGAAAATGCTCTAGATGAAATGCACATTGGAGAGCTTCCGTTTGGCTCACGTGGTCTGGGTGTCCTGTGAGCTTTTACTCGGCTTCTCTCTCTTGTTGGCTTCCATAGCTCTATCAATCTGTATATTACTTCCAAGATTCTGCAAACAGAGTCGTAACAATGGCAGATATACTTGAATGCAAAGCACCTTTGTCATCTGTGTATAAAACCACAAGTACGGCAGTTAATAAGATAGAAATGAAATGACATGTAGAAGACGGTCGTTTATATAGGCTGCTATTTATCATTCTCTTGTTGAAGAAGAAATTGAGTTGAGTGGTGGTCCTCGCACTTCTTTGGTATGATCTGGCAAAATAGTCCTTTTCCGTTTGGGCATAATTCAAGCGATTTCAGTCGCGACGAGATTTGGCAGTGCTCTATTAGTTCATAATTCATCATGCGTGCACGCTGGATGTACAGAAGATGGGACATATTAGCAACCTACGAGGGATAAGCGCACTATGCTTTTCTAATCTGCCGCTGTTGATTTGAAAAAAAAATCCTGACAATTTGACAGATCGCGCGGCGACTGTCCCGTGAAATATGCCCGAGGCCTAAGGACTGTGCCAGAGGCAAAATACTAAGATGAGAAGTGAAGGTCTGCTTTCATTGCTGCCACTTTTTGAAAGGCAAGGTGGTACTATATAGTAGCAGTATGAATATAAGCCTTTGAATATCAGTTGTCATCAATCCTTTGACAGTTTTTTGGTTCTTTTTGAATACTTCCTCAATCACAGTAACTGATCTCAAAATTTGGTGTCATCCAAATTAGTGTCTTTTCTACATAGCCTTGATCATGAAATTGCAGTAGCTCGTGGAATTTTGCCAACAGTAACCAACTGTATAGCGCTGTTTCACCATTTCCTCCCGTTTTGCAAGATGTCCATCTTGCTTTCAAGCAGACCTTGGAGTACCATCCGATAGACATTTGTATTCTTCAAGATCCTTCTTTCAAACCTTTCAAACGGTCTATTTTACAATGGCTTTGTATGCCAGAAGCTCCTACCGTAATTAAAAAGATCGACCGGTGATTTGCTTCATAATCTGAGTCTGAGTTGAAGCCAGCTCTTCAGAGTGTCTGAAGGTCGGTAAAAGAGTTTGTGAGATAAGAGACTTCAACGTTTAAACAGTTTTTACATGCATTGGGATACCCAGTACACCGTTATCTCCTCCTCCTACTTTTCCCCTTCCCATTTAAGCTCCTACTCTCCATTTGGTAAACCTCACACTTGCTTATCACTGTACCAATCCTATTTCCTGCAAAAAACAACAGTTTTGAGCTTTACCGTGCTCTCGGTAGAGAAGCGCTTATTCAGAATTGCTTTTAAAATAAAAAAATTGCTTATTCACAGCAAACACGCAATAAGTGACATAAAACCTGTTTGTATACATATGCGCATAGGAAGCGGGACATGTATGTCAAGTTCCATGAGTCAAAAGCATGGCTAATTTTGTCTTTAAGCTCAGTGGCCTCTTTCCACTTGGCGAGCACCTGAAGTGGCCAAATTCGTGACCACCTTCCTTCACATGAAATTTCTTTTTACATAAGTTCTATATACATCCTGGGTATAGAAAACTTGAAATATTATTACTTATGCGCTAGAATTGAGGGAACCATAACGTAGTAACAAATTTCCGGACTTCCTACCACATCAAAATCGTCAAAAGTGTGCATTTAATGCCTTCGACATGTGCGCTGTGCAAATGCTAGTATATACTTGTTACGACTTCAGTACTCCTACACAAGCATTCAATCCGTGTAAAAAAGTTGGCGCACTTCCTTGCCGGCTCGAGACATATTTCTGGAAGAATGGTACTATTGATTACGATCAGCCAATGATGGGAAGCAGCTATCTATGGCTCCACAAATGCTGCTACCACTGCTCTGCGTCACTGACCTGCAGCATACATGGCTAACATGATGGCAACAAGCAACAAACATTGACAAAACGTTTTGAGTATTAGCTTACCGCCGAGATGTTGTTGCATGTTGCCACTATGTGAGCCTATGCCACAGGCCAGGAGATGCGGGAGGAGCAGCAATTGTGGCGTGAACGATAAGTTCGTTAGGTTTGACGGCCACTATAGCGTTTTCACTGCCGAGAATACTTGCGCGTTGAAAGTCGCAAAACTTGATGAATTTGTTATGCTATTGTTCTCAGTGCTATAAGCATGAGCGATTTTCGGCGCGCAAGCGTTGTCATCACCACAGCTGCACAAATGCATTCTTGGGTTATATTAGGTGATATGATAGATTCACTAACAATAAGGTGGCTCCATTAGCGTAATCTCGTTAGCGTTTCCTTACTTGGACATAGATGCCATTCGCAAAATCAGAAAATGCATAGTCCGTGGAATAGCGGAACTTGAAACGCAAAATCAGCAGCTAGCTTTCGAACTGGAGCGGCAAAAACAAACGTCCGAAGCACTGCCTCGACAGGCAAGTATCTTTCAGTCAGCATCTTTTTCAACTTTGCATCTTTCAGTCATAGCATACAGGAATCACGTTGAATGATTACGCCATTTTGCTTGATCAATTTATTTCAAAAAGCTATTCTTCAACATCTGTGAGCGCACACAACTTTCGCAGAGCTCTAAGAGAGAGTAAGATGAGACAAAGGCACAAGCGGTTTTCAACCTTCACATACAATAGTCTTATAGCCGGTTAACTTTACGCAACAACAAGTAAAGCTTTCCATTTGCTTTGTATTTGTAGAATATCTGTACAACAGCAGCTGCGACCATCTACAATAGATAGCATAGCACTTTGCCCAGGTAAATTTGGAAATTTTCTGTAGACATTTCGCAGTTTACAGCAAACGCATTGACTACGTATTCGTGTTCATCTAAAAATGTGTCATCTGAAGGACAAGCGGTCAAAAATAATATTATCCGTAAAAGCTTTAAACGGAATATGAATAATTAGGCAAGATTATTGCGGTACTGCATCACCCCATTATACTTTTCAATATCGGACTTCAAAGAAATCAACTCTTGGTGAAATTCACATTGTATGTAAAATCTTCTCTCTTATGTGGCTGAATCTTTCAGTCTCATTAACTTAAAAATCGTTTTAAGCACTCAGAAAGGAAGGATCCCAAGTTGCAGTGCCGAATTGCAATGAAATGCACATCGGGGAGGGTCTTGATGAGCTAATTCCGGATCACTTCGGCATCTACAGCGAGAATCCGGAGGAAGATTATGCGGCCAGCAAGAAATTATGAGCTGAGAGGTGTGAAGTCAATGGGGTTCTAATGAATCATGTGCATTGAAATTGGCTTGGGAGTGCGTGTGTTGAGTGCGCTAATTATAAGGAGTGCACGTTAATCAGAGACATAAATAATACTTTTTAACAACTAATTTATGTATGGATCATGGAACGGCCGTACTTGGACTCAATCGCTCATAACTTTTTTAAGGAACGCACAAAAGATACGGAAGTAAAATAAGATCACCTCAACAAGACGCATTCAAAGATATGATACGCATTTTGTTCCAGGTTGCTACTGCGATTAGAGATCCTTCCGTAGCCTCGTTAGATTTCACGAAAAGAAAACTTGTACAAGGGATTACTTGCTGCTAGAATCACAAGAGAAAGAGTTTCTCGATAATTTGCAGCAGGTCTTAGGGCAATGAGATAATACAGCAGAGTTGATTATGGCTGACTTCAAAGAGCCCAAAATCACAAGAACGTGTCATCAGTTCGCAAAAATACACCTAATACAAATACCCCAAAATCTCAAGACAGCTAAAAAAGTCCTAATTTCTTTGAATCTCGCCATTGCTTATATCATTATATAGTGCTGGAAATTACTATGGGGCCAGCATAAGAAAACTCGCGTTCTCGTTGATGAATCTGCCTAAATGTTACTGTATAGCCTACCATAATTTCTTGAAATGGTTTTTATCCCCGTAAAGCTCGCATTGAAAGCTGGGCATTACTATGAAGCCACCTGTTTTTCATTAACTCTCAGATTTCTTGTACAGTTTTATTTTAGAATATGAAACGTTTGCAACACCTACGACCTGTCATCATGTTTGAAGAAAAACGACTGCTTTCGCTTTTAGACGCTCTGAAGCTGATTTGAGTCTTCAAGCTCTTGTCCTATTCAGATGAAAGTCATGAAATCCAGAACCTTTTTGATAAATTAGGTGAGAAGCGTTCTCATAAACTCTGCGTAAACGCTAATATTGACGGACAGAGTCCTAACTATATAAATGTCACGCTTTTACACCACAAAGCACAATTTGCACTGCTTATAAAGTATTATAACGGAATTATTATTATACATTGCCTACGTGGGAATGCCGCTGCAACAGCTTCCAGGCTTTCTCTAGTGATGCAGTCGCGATTGAATTTGAAATACTTTCCACAACAATTTTTTGTGTACAGTACGTTCGATATATTACGTTGGAAACTATGTTTTGCAACTGGTCTCATAACCTCCCTCTCACTCAGCATGGCGCGCTCAAATTTTGCCACTGCGTTGGTTATTACGTAAGCTACAAGCGCAGCTGCTGTCCTACCAAATTCTGACGTCGCAGTGAGGGTTACAGTAGGTGCATGGTATGACGGGGAAAAATCCAAAGTTTGACGGATTTGGCTGAAACTTGGCAAAGGGGTGGTTATCCAACATGCGATCACAAAAACGATAATGAATTTGCTTGATAAGGGCTTTTTTGTAGGATTGTAGGTGCACGATATGGGGTTTCACCCTAGACAAAGAAAAAGGCGTTGATTCAACAAATTAATGTGATATTCGCGTTTGGGAGGTCAAATAACCTTACTATGTAAAATCTCGGCGGAATTTGAGCTTCGTACTCTTTAGTCATTGACGGTCGTCCCCAGCAGCTCTTGCGTACATCGACTCGTTCGAATTTGTGAGGACGCCAAATCTCGACATGCCCTTAAATTTTGTTTCTTTTTTACTAGACCAAAGGAGTCAACCTCCAGCAATAATTTATAGACGAATCCGAATTACTGCGCATGATCTAGGCTGCCAAAGGTTTCATTTTAGCTTGAAACCCCAAAAATTCTCAAATTTCACTAGTTTTCGAAAAACGCCTGAAACTTTTCTATTTCGTGTTCAAAATTTAGACAATTTGTGCTCACTTGTAGCTCACATTGCCAAAGATTGAATGCGCCATAACCAAAGAGAATGAAGTTATGAAATCAGTTACAAAACTTAGTTTCCAGCC